ATTTTTTGTTAATTTTAGATGGTGTTTCCTTTTTGGATTTGCTTTATTTTATTATGTATATATTAAAGAATTGTTTTTAATTATTTTTAGTTTTAGTTTACAACATTGAAATCTTTATGCCCGCACAATAACAAATTAACAACAATATAAAACCCAAAAAATAAAATAGAAAATTAAAAGAAGGCGAGAAAAGAAAAATAATCACTATAGAAATCACAAAAAGGAAATATGGGAGATTATGCCACAGAAACAAAATTCACCGGCTTACTAAAGTACAAAACCGATTTACTTTGAGAATGAGCGAAGAGTTGACCTTCGAGAATGGTGAATTAGTTGTTGTAGGTGAAAACATATGTAAGCTAACGATATATATAATGTAGAATAAATGTTTTAGGTTATTTTTAATCTTTTTTGGTGGCCCATTTTACAAATTCGGGTGAATTAAACGAAATCAATGGCCCATTAACTAATAGTATAGATGGCCCATTAAAATCATATTAACTATAGTGACATGTAGGATTAATGATAATCCAATTAGAATTAAGAAAAATGACACGTATATTTAACACATAAGCAAATCGCTCTGGTGTTGACACGTAAGAATTTTGACTTCGCAAATAATAGTATAGATTCTAGGGCTTCTCTATTCAATGTTTAAAAACCAAGTCGTTCGAGCAGCTTTCTTTGTCTAGGATTTTTCCAAAAATTTTCAATCAGCATCTAAGAGATTTGATATGGGGAAATCCGAAGGGAGGAAGAAGAAGAGTGGTGGAGGTGGTACGAACCAGGTCAAGTCTTCTGGTTCATCGGATTCTGATGCTTCCATATTACTAAACCGTGCTCACAAGCTCAAGGAAGAAGGGAACAAGAAGTTCGCAGCCGGAGTTTACGCAGCTGCTCTTGAGCATTACTTCAAAGGACTTAAACTCATCCCGGAGAACCACCAAGACAAAGCTCTATTTCACAGCAACCGTGCGGCTTGTTTGATGCAGATAAACCCTATCGACCTCGACAACGTGATCGAAGAGTGTTCCTTGTCGCTCAAGGCTCGGCCTGGATTTACTCGAGCACTCGATAGAAGAGCTCGCGCTTTTGAAGCCGTGCGGAAGTATGAGATGGCTTTGCAAGATGTGAATGCTTTATATTAGGAGCAGACCCGAATCACAAGGAAGCCAAGGAGATGTCGCAGCGGTTAGCTTCTATGATGAAGGAGAAAGCTGAAGATATGAAAGAATTGGAGATGGATGATTGACTTTGCTGAGCTTTTCCGGTCTCATCTAGGCATTGACCCTGATGCTCATCTCGACTTACATGAGCTTGGGGTGGAAGTTTGCTCAAAAGCTTTAGAAGAAACAGTCACAAGTGAAGAAGCTCAGCCTCTTTTCGACAAAGCTGCTTCACATTTCCAAGAAGTGGGTGCTTTGGCTTTGGTGGACTGTGGTAATGTTTACATGTGCTCTGCTAAGAAGCGGATTCCTCCGGAAGAAATCTCTGAGAACGAGACGGTAGCAGAACAGCTCAGGACTGATTACGAGTGGATGAAACAGAGTGATTATGATTGGATAAAACAGAGATATACTCTGGCTAAGGAGAAATATGAACAGGCCTTATTGATCAAACCCGGTTTTTACGAGGGTTTGCACGGTTTAGGACAGCAGCAGTTCGAGATGGCAAAGCTGCATTGGTCTTTCGTGTCGCGCAAGATTGATGATTTAGGGAGAGGATTAATGATGGAGAAGATGGGGAGGATTTAGAAGATGTTGCAGTAGACTAGAGCAAGTGAAGATAGATATGTTATTGGGAAACATGCTCTTTGAAAGATCACAAGTGGAATGCAAATTCGGAGTAGATGGTTGGAAGATAAATATGGACTCAGCAGTTGAAAGACTCAAACTTGCTGGTGCTTCTGAAAGTGATATTTCGGCTCTTGTCAAGAACCATTGTTCCCATGAAGTAGTTGTAGAAGGAGGAGAGAAGAAGGTAACTAAATCGTGAAACCCATCATCTTGATCAATGGCGGCAACTTTTTGATGATTTCAATTGATTGGTTTTTCTAATTAAGTTCAAAACATGCGAGCTTTGTTTAGTTTTATTTTGTTTGACTACTTTTTGGAAATTACTTACCTAATGGTCAAAGTTTCTGATTCTTTATGATATTGAGTCTTTCATTTTTTTTTCTTTGTTCGAAAAAAAAAAGAATAGAATGAAAGACTGTGAATTTTTATATTTCATTCTTTGTTTTCAATATTCATAATTATAAACTTATAATCTAAATCTTATAGATATGAATCCTAAAAAAGATTTTTGGCTATTATTATATCTCTAAGATTAAATTAATTGTAGTTTTTCCCAATATTTATACATAAAGATTTTTATACATTCTTCTCTCCTATTCTTGACAAGGTATAAAGATTTTTGGCTATTATTCATCAGATTTTCGACTTATCTTCTTCTTGTTTATCCCAATAAAAGAAAGAATACATCGGTGATATCTGCTTTGGCATTCACTACAAGAAAACATGCCATATTTCTACGAAAATTTCTATGAAAATATTTCATAAGAATATTTTTCAGTATTTTTTTCGTAATTATGACGAAAAATAAAAGTGATAGGAAATAAATAAAGAATCTCCTACGAAAGAAAAAAAGAAAATGTCAATATTGTCCAATTCTAATTGGAGAGAAAAAAACAAAGTCCACAGTGACTTATAATGAGATTGCGGCACGTAAATCATGCCAATGATGCCTTGGCTTTCAAGTCTTCTTTAATCAGTTGGATTAATTTTCAAAACTCATCATGTTTGAAGTTCAAATCTAATAATAATGCATATAAAAAAGCCAGTGACCTTCAAAAATAAAGAGAGAATTTCAGATTTAACCTATATTTCAAAGTCAAACACCAAACTAACCTCTTTTTTTTTCTCTCTCCAACTTTTGTCATTATCTCACAATTTTATCCTTCTCACTTAAATTATTAACGAAAATGCCATTATACATCTATTATTTCGATTTTTCTTTAATTTGGCTAAAGTCTCCTTGGACCTTCTAAAGACCTTTTAATTACGAGAATGCCATCTTCTTCAATTTCTTCAACCACCATGAACAACCATGAAAATGGAATAAATGCTTCTCAACCAATTTTAAAGCTGTAATAAGTAAATATCTGAGCTCATTCACTCATAACCTTCTTCATTCTTTCATAATTTCTTCTCCAAAACATCTGGGCTAAGTTACAATGCCAAAAGTCATGCATTTTTGGTGATTTCTGGTTACTTGACATCTGAGTTGCTTATTTTTGGTGAAATCCTGAGTTCTGGGTACTTAAAAGAACTGTAGTCGAGCTCAATTTTGTTAAAGGTAATCGTCGCACTTTAATTTCTCCATATTTCAGTTTCTATATCGCGAAAGTAGACTTCACGTGAAGTATACTGAAGTCTACTAGTCAACATAAGGTTAGTTTTGCAATTGACTTTTTAAAAGTAGACTTCATTAAACCTCACAAGAAGTTTACTCGATATCCTTTGAAAACAAAAAAAAGCATAGTAGACTTCATTTGAAGGCTTAAGAAGTCTACGAACGATTTTTGTAGTTGACCGTATTTTGACTTTTTAATGTAGACTTCTTTCTAAAGTCTACTGTTTACGTCTGCACAAGAAGTCTACTTTTAAGTTACTTTTGTAGTTTGACCAAAAACGTATAGGTCATTTTAGTGTTTGACTAAAATTTTTTTAAAAATAAAAAATTCAGAAAACTCCGGAAAACTGCAGTAGACTTCAGAAAGAAGTCTAAAACTGTAGACTTCTTTGGGAAGTCTACTTATATTTTTCGGTCAAACTTAGAAGGAATCTTTTTTAGTAGACTTCACAGTGAAGTCTACTAAAGATTGTCAATTGCAAAAATAACCTATTTTTTTCGTAGACTTCTATTGAAAAAGTAGACTTCAAAAGTAGATTGTCAGAGAAGTCTACTCTTACATGAAGTCTACAATAGAAGTCTACTTTGTTAGTCAATGGCTTGGTCAAATGCTAAAGTAACATTTTTGGCCGGAAGTCTACTTCTGAAGTCTACTTAACAAAAAGTCAACGGATTGGTCAATTGCAAAAATAACCTGTTTTTTAGTAGACTTCTTTAGTAGACTTCACTATGAAAAAGTAGACTTCTCCTCCAGTCTACGTTTGAAGTCTGCTTTAGAAGTCTACTTATTGCAATTTTTTTAAAAACGCGTTTTAGGCAAATTTATAAAGTATTTTTTAAATTTTTTGGATTAGAATTGCTTCTTAGTAAGTAATTGAACTACCCAGTGAATTTCATTTCATTTCATTTGATATTTATTGTTGAATCAGAAGTTTCGATTTTTAAGCTACTTAGCTTATCAAAGTAGACTTCAGTAGACTTCTCCTGAAGTCTACTAAGGAAGTCTAATTGGGAAGTCTACTATTTGTATTTATTTTAAAAACGCTTTTCAAAAATATTTATAATGTTTTTTAAAATTTTTAGGTTTGGATATGCGTGTTAGCAAGTGGTTGAACTACTCAATGATTTTCATTTGATTTAAGTCGATAATTAGTGTGAAATCAATTTTTTGATTTATAAGCTAATTAGCTTGTAAAAGTAGACTTCTCCAGCAGTTTACAGATGAAGTCTGCACACGAAGTCTAATTGCTAGAAAAATTTGTGTTCTATGTTTTTGCCATAATTTGGTTTATAATTATGTTTGCTAATATGATATTTTGTGTTTTCTGATATAGAATAGTTCAATTGAAAATAGGAGATGGAAGAGAACTTGTATTTTTTGCAATGTTTTTGTATTCTTGTTTACAAGTTAACATTTATAGTACATACAAAATTAAGTCACACAAGTTGATATTACATACAAAATTAAGTTGATAAAATGACATAAGCTGATTTAAAACATTGTCTTGGACACTTGGTAAAAGACAATATGTGCAGTCAAGACTTTTGATCATGTTTAAGGCTTGTTATCATACCCCTTAAAAAGATAAACTGAAAAAATCTCCATATATTAACATCAATTTGCATTACATGATGCATATGTTTTAGAATTTGTCATATTGATATTCTGCTTAATGACTGTAACAAGAAAAACAACTTAATGATTATAACACAGTTGTTTACGACCGAGGCGGCAATAAAAACTAGTTTAAGACCGAGCCTTCTTGTTGCTGCAAGATGGGCACTTGAACTGCTTGATGTGTTCAGCCCTGGCTGGTGTTATCTTCACACACTTCCCATGGAGCCAGTTCTCACAAACGTCACAGCAGATCCAGAACTCATCGGCCGCATGCCCCACACTGTGTTTCCCTTGCTCATCATCATCCTCCTCTTCCACACCTTCCTCTTCCTCTTCATCTTTGTGCTCTGCCTTTGATAACTTGCGCTGCGGTTCTGATCCTCGCTGTAATTTGAGAAGGAAAAAACCAGAATAGACAAAGGATTAAGTTAAATAGACCCCAAAAAAACAGTGCACGTAAGTGCTCATGCCATGAAAGAACACTCAAACTTGATGCCACTACGAAGAGTAAAAAATTGAAAAACTCTTTAATGGAAACAGCACCAAAAACACACAAATGACATTAAATAGAAAGAAAAGAGACAACGATTCTCTGACTAATTTAACATCTGCAACAGCGGGATTCATCAATACAACTAAGAATGAAAAGCAACGCAACAGGATTCAGGGCCAAGCTGATAGGTTCAGAGACTCTTAATTGTGAGGAAAAGAATCAAAACGGTTTCCCTATATTTCAATTAAAAAATCTCACAGTCTAGAGCTTTCTTGAATTTATACAATTCAAAACGGTTTTCACATCATGCCATATCGAAACAAACCAAAAGATTTGAGCTTTCTTGATTAAAAAGAAAAAAAGACGAACCTTGAACGAGGAGGAGAAGCTCTTCCACGCGCCACCGCCGAGACTGAGCCGTTCACCGCCACTGCCCTAATCCGAACTCCAGTTCACTCTCATCCAGAAGATTAATCTTCCCCACTTCCGATTCTAACCTGTCACGCATATCAATTAAGAATCCAAAGATATGGAAGAGAGAGAGTCTTTCAACGGACAACCAAAGAGAGTAACAATGGTTTACAATTTAGTGCCGGCGACCAACGAGAAATCGGGCAACGAGGAGGGAACCAGCTGCGGCAATGAAATCACCCCTGAGATGTCACAAAAAACATGGTAGCACCGGCGAGCTTGAGCTCAGCAGAGAGAAGGTGAGGGATCTCCTGGTCAGCCTTACGCTTAGGGTAGAGAAGAAATGAGAAGAGAGGCGAGAGAGGCAAAGAGGCCAGCGAGAGAAGCAGTGATGCGCCGTTTAAGAGAGAGGCGAGAGTTTTTTTTCCACTAAAAAATTAGGGTTACATCTTATATATATGATTAATATTTTTTGGTTTGATTTTGGTTTAATTTTTGGTTAGGAAAATTATTTTCGATAAAGTTAATTTATTCGGTTTAGCAGACTTCCATATATGGAAGTCTACTAAGTGTAAACCCTAAATCAAATATTTTGTTCTTTTTAATTTGAAATCATAAATTTAAACTTATGAATATAAAAAAAAAATTTATATACATTAGGATTACTAATATCTAATTTATGATTGCAAATTTGAAACTAATATTATTTTTTATAATTTTTAAATTAAATTTTATGATTTAATTATACAGTAGACTTCATAAGCTATGTTAGAAGTCTACTAGTGGACTTTTATTACTTTAAAATAGATTTCGTCAGGGTTTAAACTGTAATTAGGACATCCGTTTTTTTATTTGGTCATACTGGAGTATATTGTTTTTTCACTATCCCTTTAGGTTATTTTTGCTAAACATTACATCAGGGGTCTACTTTTGTATTCAAAATCAAGTTTTAGGTTATTTTTAGCAAAAACCTCAAAAATAAAAGTTTTGATGCAAATGATTGTTTAACTTTAACCACTCCCCATTTGTCTCTCTCTCAAAAGGGCGACAAAGTGAGCTCCTTTTCTAAAATCCTCCAGCGTCAATCACGCCGTCAGAACCCCCTCCCTTCATCTAGCTAAGGCCCTCCCCTCCTCATGGGGAAGAAAAAGCGTCCCAAAAACCTTTTCCCCTCAAAAACCCTATCTGCTCCCGATCCAAATGATTCCTTCTCCTCCGAGGTTTCTGCCCCTTTCGTCGAGAGTAAATCAGTACCTTCTGGTCCTCCGGTTATCCCCGACCTGAATCCTAATGTCCAAAAACGGAATTCCCCTCTTTATTTGGCCATATCCTCTGAGGATTTGTGTGATGACCCCCCTAAGTCTCCATCCAACCGTTTCCCTGCTTTCGCAATTGTTAGGAACGGACCAGGTGCTAGCTCTGCAGCTCTGTTATTCTTCCTATGACTGAAAAACCACTCCCGTGGTAGATTCAGAAACTCTAAGCGAAAATGGTCAGATCCCACCAGCCATTTTTGATTTATCTACGAAGATTGCTCCTGCAATTGACCCAATTGGTACCAAATCGCCACCCAACGCTTCTTCGGACTCCTGGTGTGACCTCGTCAAAGGAAAATCAAAGATGCTCAAAAAAGGGTGATGTCCTGCCGTCAGGAGAAGCTTGCGTCAAGATCCCAAATGCGGTCATTGGGGACAGCAAACGGTCTTGGGATTGTTTCATCCTAGGGCAATTCTATTCGGAACCTCCAAGCCAGGGTATCATCCATAACATCATCAATAGAATCTGGAGCCACCACTATCGAGATATCTCTGTCTCAAAAATGGAAGAATACTAATTCTTGTTCCGCATTCCAAATGCTCAAACTCGCCACCGCGTCTTAAATCAGCGCCTCTGGCAGATTGAAGCGCAGACGATATTTTTAGCAAAATGGGAGCTGGGTGTTACCCCGACTAAACCGGAGTTATCTTCAGCTCCCATCTGGCTTGAGCTGTGAAAGGTGCCTCTTCAATTCTTTAACGATGCTGCCTTGGAACACATAGCAGGGCTTGTAGGAGAACCAAAATTTCTTCATCCTTCTACGGCGAACAAAACAAATCTTGAGGTTGTTAAAGCTTTTACGATCATAGACCCACGGAAGCTTCTCCCTGAAGCCGTTAATGCTCATTTTGAATCAGGTGAGATTGCTCGTATTGAGGTATCTAGCCCATGGATACCCCTGTTTGTTATTTCTGCAAAGAGATTGGGAACTCCCTTAAACGGTGTAAGTCGGCCCCTGTTCTGTGTTCGACTTGCAAGTCCACTACTCATTTACCCGAAACTTGCCTGAGATCTCTTACTAAGTCTAAGAAGAAGAAGAGCTCTGCTCAGCTTGATCCCCCGATTCTGCAAGCTGGTTCATCCCAGTCTTCTAAACACTCCAAGCTTGCCCCTGCCATGCCTATTTATGAGCCCAAGAGCTCTGGTGTGCTGAAACTTATGGAGCCAGTTATTCACGCGGACTCGGGAGCTGCTCCTTTGAAAACTTCTGGTGGTGATCTTAGTAGCAAAAACCACTTGCATCCCAACATTCGTCCCCCGTTAACAAGAGCTCAAAGGATAAGGAGATTGCTGCTGAATCAGATATTGAGGTTCGGACATCTCTTCTTCCCATTACAATGATGAAGTTGCAGGTTTCACAGAAGTGTTGTCTAAGCGACAGCAAAGGAAGCTCCGGGACAAGGGTCCCAAAAATCAGGAAGCTTTATATGTGTACAGACATTTTTTTGGTTTAATGTTAGTGGGTTTAACATATCTAGTCATCGTAGAGGATTCAAGAGATGATAAAACCGATTTTTGGTAGCTTTCTTGAGACTCATGTCAAGCAGCCTAAGCAATAAAAGTTTATAAATTCTCTGCTTCTAGGCTGGTCTTTTGAAGACAATTACTTCTTTTCTGATTTGGGTAAGATCTGGGTTCTCTGGCATCCCAGCGTTCAGGTTTCCATTGTCGCCAAGTCTCTCCAAATGGTCACCTATGAGGTTGTCATGCCGGGTTCTCAGAAGCCGATTATTGTTTCTTTTGTTTATGCCTCCAACATGGAAGCTCTTCGTCGCTGCCTGTGGGATGAAATTGTTGCTATGGCCTCTCATCAATCTGTGTTAGGCAAAGCTTGGTTAGTTCTTGGTAATTTTAATCAGGCTCTTCAACCTTCTGATCATTATCTTCCGCAGAGTTTGAATTTTGACCTGTCTATTAGTCTATTCCAGCACTCTCTTGTCCAAGCTTCTCTGTCTGATCTTACTTATCGTGGTAACTCATTTACATGGTGGAACAAGAGAGTGTCGGATCCCATTGCCAAAAAGATTGACAAAATCTTGGTTAATGATGAGTGGCAAAACCAATTCTCCTTATCTTATGGTCTCTTTGGAGAACCTAGCTTCTCTGATCACGCCTCTACTGCTATCATCATCAGTTCTTCTGCAACCAGGAAAAAGAGACCTTTTAAATTTTTTAATCTCCTCCTGCAGAATGAAGCTTTTGTCCCTTATCCGTCAAACATGGTTCTCCACTAACAGTCTGGGTTCTGACATATTTTGGGTTTCTCATAAGCTTAAGACGCTGAAGAAACCTATCAGAGATTTCAGCCGGGAGAATTATTCAAACATCGAGAAAAGAGTTGAGGAAGCTCACAACTATCTCCTTGCTACCCAGCGGCAAGTTCTGGCAAATCCTTTTCCTTATTGGGCTGAGCAAGAGTCAGCCGTGCACAACAAATGGCAAGAGCTGGTACAAGTTGAAGAATCTTTTTTATGCCAGTTTTCTTGCATCACGAGGCTTAAAGATGGTGATAGCAACACCAGATATTTTCACCGTATGGTTCTCTCTCAAAAGGCTTCAAATCACATCCATTTTTTGCTGGATGATTAGGGTAACAAAATTGCTGATCAAGCTGCCATGCTCGAGCATTGTGTTGACTATTTCAAGGGCCTATTGGGGATGAAGTTGAGCCACCTCTGTTCTGGCAGGATGATTTATCTACTCTCCTTAACTTCTCTTGTTCCCAGGAAAACGCCAACCCCCTTGTCTTTGGAGTTCTCTCTTTCGGAAATCAAAGAAGCTTTCTTCAGCCTCCCGCGTAACAAGTGCAGTGGCCCAAATGGTTTTTCAGCGGAATTTTTTACAGGCTGTTGGGATGTTATTGGTGCAGAAGTCTCTGCTGCTGTCAGTGAATTCTTCTCTACCGGTCAGATGCTAAAAAAATGGAACGCCACTGTGCTGGTTCTGATCCCAAAAATACTGAATGCCTCTAAGACTTCGGATTTCAGACCCATCGCGTTGCTCAATACCGTTTACAAGGTTGTTTCTAAGATTTTAGCGGGCAGACTTAAGAAGATTCTCATATCGGTTATCGAAAATGATCAGTCTGCTTTCATGCTAGGTAGACTCCTCTCAGAAAATGTGCTTCTAGCTATGGAGATTGTCTGTGGATCTTTGTAAAGCATTTGACACTCTTAGGTGGGATTCCATTTTGGCATCTCTCAAAGCCATTGGTCTTCCAGAAAGATTTGTTCTTTGGATTTCTCAATGTATTTCTACAGCATCTTTCTCGATCTCTGTCAACGGGATCACAGGGGGTTTCTTCAAGAGCTCCAAGGGGCTGCGACAGAGAGACTCTCTGTCGCCATATCTTTTCGTCCTTGCCATGGAAGTTTTCTCAAGGTTACTGGAATCTCGATTCTTATCCGATTATATCGTCTTTCACCCCAAAACTGATGAGCTTTACATCTCCCATTTGATGTTTGCGGATGATGTCATGATATTCTTTGATGGCAGTTCCAACTCTCTTCATGGCATTACAGAAACTCTTGAAGACTTTGTTGGCTGGTCGGAATTGAAGATGAACTAAGAAAAGACTAATATTTTTCTCTCGGGTCTGAGCCCTTCGGAATCCATTGCTCTCAACAGATTTGGTTTCCGTAATGGCTCTCTCCCCATTCGATATTTAGGCCTACCTCTTATACATCGCAAATTAAGGATCAGTGAATACTACCCCCTTCTGGACAAGATTTCAGGGAGATTAACATCTTGGTCGACTAAGACTTTATCTTATGCGGGCCGAGCTCAGCTCATTGCGTCGGTCATCTTGAGTATTGTCATTTTCTGGATGTCCTCCTTTATGCTCCCAAAAACCTGTATTAGGAAAATTGAGTCTTTTTGTGCTCGATTCCTCTGGTCTGGAAATATCGATCAGGGCAAAGGGGCTAAAGTCGCCTGAAAAATGGTTTGTCTGCCTAAGGATGAAGGAGGTCTGGGCCTCTGGAGTTTTTCTCATTGGAATTCTGCTCACTGCCTGACGCAAATCTGGCTCCTCTTTACGAAAAGGGGCTCCTTATGGGCTTCTTGGCATCACCATCACCATATCAAAGGTCAGGTGTTCTGCGATATTAAAGAATATACATACATATCTCATCAGTGGAAGTCTCTTCTGCGGCTGCATCCTTTAGCAGAAATTTTGTTGGCCCTTTCATCAAGTTGTTGGGAGAGGAGGGACCTTCAGCTCTTCTTATCCCCAAGGATGTAGTCGTAGCTTCTGCCTGCAACACCAATGGCTGGTTTCTCCCATCCCCAAAATCCAATCAAGTGCTTGCAACACCTCCATTCCGCTTCCTTCGTTTTCTTCTGAGGAGGATACTTACAAATGGTTGGTTTTTGGTAAAGTCTATAATGGTTTCTCGGTGTCTCTCACTTGGGAATTTCTTAGACCGCGACAGACAAAAACTTCGTGGCATAAATATATTTGGTTCAAGGGAGCCATCCCGAAACACTCCTTCTTGATGTGGATCGCCCAGTTAGACAGGCTTCCCACTCGTTCCCGTCTTGTCTCTTGGAGAATGCTTGTGTCGTCGCACTGCTGTCTTTGCTCTGTTGCAGATGAACATAGGAACCACCTCCTTTTGAGCTGCACCTACAGTTCGGAAATTTGGACCTTTGTTCAGCGCAGACTTTGTCTTCCACCAAGAATATTTCTTTCTTGGGAGGAACTCCTTTCTTGGATTCGAACATCCTCGGCCTCTGCTCCAACTCTTCTCAGGCGTATCTCTGCCCATGCAGCTATCTATTCTATCTGGAAGCAACACAACAACGTTTTTCATAACCAAGTTTCAATTCCCGCAAACTTGATATGCAGGGAAATTGATAAGCTTATCCGAAAGGACCGAAACATCATCTCAGCTCGAAGACAGAGGAATGGGTTTGGCGACATCATGACCCTCTGGCTTTATTGAGATCTCTTTTAGTCTCTAACTCTCTATTGTTTCCTTGTTTTTTATTTATTTTTTGCCAAGGAAGCAATTAGTATTAGGTAGCTCTTACATATCTTTTGTATCGCCCCCTAAAACATTCATTATTAATGATATTTACAGAATTATCAAAAAAAAAAAAGTTTTGTAAAGCGAATCAAATTTAATCATCAGTCAGTTAAGAATGTGTCCGGACTTCAAAAACAAATACATAATATTTGGTCTTCCACACATATAAAAAAAAAAACAAAGAAAATCAAAAGACAAAACTTAAAAAGAAAAGGAGTTCACATCATATTCGAGATGTAAAAAAAAAAAAATCCCTAAAGAAAGGAACCTAAACATTAACAACTCGCACTTGTGGTTCATTTATAAACTTCCAGTAAGCTCGTGTATCTTCAGATACTTCTTTTAATGCTGGTGCTAGACAGAATGTGTAAAGAGGTGCAATGAAAGCGGCTAAGACCCATAAGGAAGAAGGTAAACCAAACCATAGAGCCAAACGTGGCGAAATAGAATAGAGGAGGGTGAGGAGAATCCCCAAGCCGCCAATGTGACTGATGCGTCCGGTCATGTACAGATCAGACGCTTCGACATTGGTGATTGCAATGGACCAATACACGCAACTCGCTAGGCCGAAGCTGGAATATAGAATCATCACAAAAGAAGTAGATTTTGTGTTGTGTCAAATAGATGATCGCTGTAACGTTAAGGATTATGAGGATGATGCTCATCACAAAGTCGTACTGTAGGTTCTTATTCGACCTGCACTAACCAATTTAAAGTATTTAATGGTAGTCATGATGAGAATCAAATTTCTTTAATTAAGTAATGAAAGAGTAAGAAAATTTGATAGTGTTCTCACAGCCAAGTACGGAGACGGCTTGGAGATTCTTGGACCACACTTGTACTCGTCTTGTCTTCTTCAATAGTCAGTTGGTAATCCATGACGTAGAAGGAAACTCTCTGCAATCAATGTGTACGTAGTTTCTTTGTTAAACCCTAATGGCTCTATATATATATATAACAAGCCTGATTCGTATCTTGAGTCCAACACTAAGCCTAAGTGGGATGGGAAAACGAAAATAGGAAATTAGATTTTGCTTAAAATACAAAAGCTTTTTCCTTGTCGGCAAATGAGACAACCCGTTCTTACCGAGACGGCATAGTCCAGCATTGACTTAAAACACAAATGCTTCTCTACTCCCAAGGATCGAATCCAAACGTCTTACAAAATCAAAGCCAAAATTAACATCATTGCTTTGATAATAACGTTTTCACACTTATATTATCTCACATACGTTTCCACTTAATACATAGATAAATAACTATAAAATAGGTATATGTTGTATTGTAAACGCACACGAGGTTACTTTGGTAAATATATCTAGGTGGAGCTCGGAGATTCTTGTTATATAGAGGCGAGTTCGATATGAATGCTTCGAGGTTGTTTCAGCGAGGTTAGCTTGCGAAGTAAGAGTTAGCAATCACAAGTATTGAGTATTTTTTGTCTCTATTTCATATTACGGATCCCGTAATAAATGAAGTTACAGGGCTATTTATAGTGTTCGAATTAGGTTACATCTCGGTCAGAGTAGCTTGGGCGGCCGGGTAGATAGACCTGACCGACCGTCTATCAGAATGTCCCGCTGGCGAGCTGTTTCATCAACGTCGACGTAGCGAGCTACTCCTTCAACGTCGACGTGGTGAACTGCTCCTTTGATATGGAAGCTCATCTCTTCGAATGACCTCGTTTTGGCTTTGTGAATGGGCTTGTTATTCTTTGAGCTCGTTGGGCTTCTCCAATTTGCTAATGGGTCTGGTTGAAATTACATAAAGAGGGCTGTGCTCAGCCCACCTACAAAAATTGTCCCCCCCAGTCCGTTGATGGAGATGTTACTTCGATATTCAACGCATCGAGTTGGCAAACTTTTCAATCCTCGGGATCTCGATATCGAAGTGGGATCTTCGGTGTCGAGGCTATACTTGGGGAATGAAGAATCGTAAAAGGCAATGGTCGACTTGGGAAGCGAAGAGTCGCGAGAAGCAACGAAGAGTCGCGAGTGGAAGCGCGTGGAATCCGCCACTAAATAAAATACTGGGAAGCGTCTGGATCATGATTACTTTCCTCGGTAACCGCTGCTTTTTCTTCTTTATATATTCTGTTCTCCTTCTCTTCTTCTCATTTCTTCTTCGTTGACAAAAGGTAATCTTGCTCTCCCTTCTCTCTAGAATTCCTTTCTCTCTCTAGAACTCGTCATTTCGTTATTTTATTTCTGTTGCTATTCGATATCGAATAATGTCTTCGGGGGGTCAGCGCATCGAGTCGAGTTTAGAATCTGGCTCTAGATCCGAACAGGAAGTTTCTGGGAGTGCGAGCTCTTCTCCTGAGGTGTCTTCGAGATCTGATAGTCAATCAGATCGAGGAGAGTCTCCATTGCTGGAGTTGGCGGATCGAGTTCGTTCTGATGGGGCATCTCCGCAAGGCGAATCTACGAATCTTCAAATAGTTCCTCTTGTGGAGCGTGATGGCGAGGCTACTAAGCACGCTGATGAAGAGGTTGGTGAAGGGGGCGAGGAGGAGGATGAACAGGGCGAGGAAGAGGAACAAGGCGAGGAAGAAGAACAAGGCGAGGAAGTCAGACCTCGACGAAAAGGTTCCAAGCGCAAGGGAGCCATCAAGAATCGACTAGCTAACATTCCGTCTCAGATGACGGCTCAACGTCTCGAGGAATTTCGGTTACGATACGGTTTTCGAGGTGAGCTGATGGCGCCAGGACCCGAGGATCGACCATGGCGGGCTCCTGAGGGATGGGTTACGCTTTACGAGGCGTGGCTGTTGACCGATTATGTTGATCGGAGATGTATCGCTTTCTCGCAGATTCTTCCTGCGGGGATCCGGTTTATGGTCGCGGCTCTTTTGTTCGGGAGCGAAGTCGGGGTCGATGTCGACTGGCGCTTCTTCGAGGAGATGACTACCGTTCAGAAGAATAATTCGATCCCAGGCACGTATACGATAAAGGCCAGGAAAGATTGTTCCCTGGTTTACCCCGTCAATAGGACGCCGAGCTGGGAGGCATCCTTCTTTTATGCAAAGGTGGATGAGGCGCTGGTAGTTGATACGACCAGAGACTTTAGGAACGAGTGGAGCAGTAGCATCGGTAGATCGCTAATTCGGTCATATCTCGAGTCTTCCCTTTCTTTTACTGATGTTTTCTTTGTTTCTCGCAGAGCGAAACGTCCAGCTCGAAGCTTTCCCGGAGAATTTTCACGTGAATATTCAGAAGATCAGGGCCGTTGGGATACAGCATTGGCCTGATATACATCGTCGAAGAGTCAAGGCAGCCATTACCCGTATCACAAACGGTATGTTCGATGTCATCAGCATTTCCTTTATAATTTACGTTGTCTAACATGTAAATTATTGTTTTGCTCCAGCTAGCTGGAGGAGGGAAAACCTTCTAAGGGAGAGGGCGATTGAGATATCTCCGATTCAAGTGAATGCGCCTAGTCTCGCTGTGCGGATTAGAGCTAGTCGTGGGAGCGGGGGAAATAAAAATCAGCAATCCTCTGCTCAATCAGGTCGCTCGACCCAAACGATGGTACG